TAACTAGAGTATCGCTTGGCCGAGTTCTCCTGAACGTGACGCTTAACCGATGGAGTTCTGTTAGAAAGTAGGCCCTTTCCTGGTGGGAGAATCGTTAATGTTGAATAAATGTCCGTCGCTTTAAAGCTCTCTTTTCGCAACAATAGGACTCAATCGGTCGCTGAACCTCAAGTACGACTGTTAACAGAGACGATCTTACTAATGGAACCAACCACATACCGGTGTTTCGTAATTTGCGGCAGGTCGTTGCGACGTTTCATCGAAGAGTTTGGTCGATATCGCGCACCGTACTAGGCATAATTTACTCTCCGAGTTTGCTCAACTCTTTCATCTTCCTTCACGAAGATAATTATCGGTAGCGTGCTCGAAACGCGTGCGTTGAAAATCAACCGACGTCCATTGCATGCTTCGTGCTAGCCTGTCGAAAGGCACATTATTCAGCGTAACATTGAACTTTTATCGAGTAATGAGATTTTATTACATTATGTAATACATACTTTATTTTCTATTTTTGATATCTTGTTACTCTTGCTAGGAAAAACAGACAATTCATACTGGAAGAATGATTAATGAAAAGATACAGAAAATGGACAAAATAATATATAAACACTTGAGAATTACATTTCCTGTATTAATAGAAGACTGGTCCATCTTTTGCCAGATTCTATCCTTGGAATACAGTCATATAATGCTTGAATCAATGAAATGTTGTACTATTCTTTTAGTACATTTTTAATTACTTATATAAGTGATATTGTATAAGTGTCGGAAAAGGAAACTTGCTTCTTATTTTATTTTCAAAAATTGCCCATTGTTCTCCAAATTTTTTCAATATTTTTCCTAGTTAGCGTAATCGCAAAATTTAAATATCATTGAATCATTATGAGCAATTTTAAAGAGTAGAATGAGAAACAAATTTTCTCCTTTTAAACAATTGAAATATTATGTTATATAACATAATAACATAATATTATAACTAATAATATAATATAATAGTATAATAGTATAACGTTAAATTGGTAATGTTACACCCTTTTATTTGAACATTGTATGATCCTATCTAACAAGAATAGAAAGTTTGTATTAAAGACAAATAACAGACCAACTTCTTATTAGTGAAACAAGTAGTGTATCTGCCAGGTGTTCACATTATTCTATCTACTAACTGTATATCGGATCAAACACTGAATAAAAATTGCAGCTTTTCTATTCACATACAAAAAACGTAGACGCTGCTAGATGAACTGGGGTCCGCGAATATAGCATGTGACGTGTTTCAATAATTACCGGGCGTTAGGGCCCGAAGCGGGACGTGGGTAACAAGCAGAACCTTGGCCTCGTACTGCCACAACGTTAAGTATTCACGTAACTCCACTGAGTTCTCGCGTCGCGTCGCCTGGTTACGAGCCATTAATCTCAAGTGTAATGACTAGCGACAGAGGATCTGTTCGAACCAAATAAACAATGTGAAGAACTGATCTTAACATCAGATCCGTCACGCAGATTGAGATTGCATAGCGATTATGTCTCTCTAATATGTATTATGACTCATTGTCAATCTTTTAAATTAGTTTTATACGATTGTCCAAATAAAGTGACTTAAATAACATAATTAATATATTTCAAAAATTAGGCGTAAAAACTCTTGAAAAATTAGAAGAGTTTTAGTTTGATAAAACATATTTCGATATCATATCTGCGTGATAATCGGAACAACTGCGAAATCCCCCCTGGACCTGGATCGTATCTGGAAGTGGCAAACAAACAGCGGATGCCTGGTCTGTCCAAAGTACCGTCTCATATGAGAACACTCCGATTAAAGTTTCGATCATAGCTGCCATCGGAGGCGAGTCCTGCTAATTCCGACAATTACACGCCCACGAAACATCGTTAGCTCATTGATGATCATCAATTTCCTAATTGGTCGATCGCGATGGCTGATCCTCTTCTCGATTTTTCTGCTCCGTTTGCTACGAAGCTACACCTCTCACGTTGAAATTCAACGATCAAAGTTTTCAATTTCTTTTATCATGATCTCGTATTAAAATTTACGTAACGATAAATCGGTAAATACAAAGTACCGGTATTCTCGAGTAAAAAATCGCTGCAACTCGCGGGAAGAGCTCGCGGTCGTTTGCGTGTGATTGTTACTCATCGTCGAGACCTTGTGGATCTATTTGATAGTAGGTCGGTCCTGATTTACAGCAAATTGCGGCACGAGCGTCGCCAGACTATTTGACGATTTGAAATAACTGAGAACGTAGCGGTTGCGAAAGTTTTTGAAACAAACTTTTCCTCTCGCTTTAATTTTCTCGCTGATCATTGCAATCATTTGAAATGGCAAATGTCAAGCCATATTTTAGAATTCAGATAATACATTGAGAGTTTTTCGATTGTTCACAAAAACAAAAGTTTTTGTGTTATAATTACATGATATCATAATTATGATTATTATTTTTATAATGTTAATAATAATAACTGTATGTATAATTATTATTATTACTAATGGCGAATTCGATTGGACGCATTAGTGCGCATTGGTGAATATTTTAAAGTCGTTATACATTGATTTAATCTGAATGTAAAAATGAAATGCAAATATTTCGAATTCTAAATAAAATACATATTTAACCTAACAGCACAATAAAGTATATTGAATATTTCACGATTTAATCATTTCTATGTACATAATAAACATATCTTTATGTTAATTTGTGTTTAATGCGCACTAAATGCGTCCAATCGAATTCGTCATAACAATTAGCATATTAATTATCATAATTATTCTAATTATTACTGCTATAATGTTAGTAATAATTACTATAAAAATACAGTTATTATTACTAACATTAGAATATTAATAATCATAATTATGATAACATGTAATTATGATAGTAAATACCGAAAAATTTTCTCTCAGTATAAAGAGGAAGAGAGAGAGAGAGAGAAGTTCCAAAGATAAGATTGTAGATTACAGGTATGTACAAACAACTATGTCAAGTACGGCAATAGCGAAATTGTTGTCGAACTTCTCTGCAGCTTGTCGATGATAAAAAACGAATACTTTTTCCCACAGTCGCGCATAATGATTTCCGTATCGTGATTGATTTCAACAGCAGAAGAGGCCAATTGTGTACAAGTGCATTGGAGGAGAGCATGGCTGAGATTAAAGTGGCGGTTAAAAAAGCTTCCCAGTCATACGATCCTATGTTACACGCTGGATTTTCTCATCGCTCCGGGTATAATGCCCCCAGACGTTGAGGCCACCGTACAGTCTTTCTCATAAATCTATGCAAAACGTTGTAATAATATTTCTTGCTAGTTCTCATGTGGTCATGCATTTGAATCTCTTCGACAATAATTAATGCTGACAAGCGCACATAGAGTAGTATCATTTTATTATGTCATTTTATATATGTTTTGCATGCAACTCGTAAACAAGAATCCATCTTATTGAAGATGCGATTGATGTATCTATGATATAAACATAATCGGAAAATTATTTAATGTATCATATTTTTGTATATTTGAATAAATATATTGTGTATAGTATAATATATACAATATTTTAGAATAAAATATATCTGTTCTATATCACAAGTCTGTTTTATGTGTTCACATTTTCTTTTATCTCTTATTAATAAAAATGTATTTAATCTTTTCACGATAGTTGGCAAAACCTCGACAAATTTTTGATTATTAATTATTATTGTATTAATACATATAGTTGATTGCATATGGGAATACTTGTAATATATTGTTTTTTATAAAAGCCCGTTTTTATACTGATACGTTTTTTCTATCACTTTTAATGGAAATACTTGTTGCCATCAAGAGATAAGTGACAGGCTTAACTTTCAGCATATATTATTTAGAGAGTCTCAAAGTTAAAAATAGATAACATTAAAATGAATAAAATATAAGTTATTGTTATAGATAGTTTTTTGTTCGATAATTGTAAATTTATTCAACATTTTTAATACTCAAATATATAAAAATTTAAATAAGACGTATGTCTTACGCATCATGACGCTATGCTTCTTTAGCGCCGAGACACTACTATGTTTCCGGATAAAACCATAAAATCTTTGTCGAATCGAAAATTTATCTTTATTACAATATTAAAACAGAAAAGATAAGAATAAATGATAAACATGACAAATGTGATAAATATAATAAATTTACGAGCTATTTCCGTAACGTAAGTGTTTAAACTCAGTGTAATTATTATGAATTATGTAAATATCAACATATATATTATCTAATTATATACATTGTTATATGCATGCGCGCTGTGAGGCAGCAAGATGTAGATAATATGTCATGAACGATACAAAAATGAATAAACATAAGATAATAAATTGATGAGAGAATCAGATAAACAGAAAAAGATTCATTAAAGCTGATTGATGCGTTCAGTTCAATTTATATCTCGAAAAAACGATTTATTAAAATAAAACGATGGTACGTGAGGAAAAATTGTTTGTAGATGTTTCTAGAAGGCTAATAAATGAGGATGCTCTGCAGAGATACGCTTTTAATGAGTCTCTTTTTCGCTTTTAAAATAATTTGCAGATAGAAATTTAATGGAGGATATTTGTGTCTGAATTTTGACAAGCACTCAAACTTCCCAAAAGAATGAAATAAAATCATTTATCAATAACTGATTATCTCTGATATCGCGCGTGTTTCTTGTGGACCGCACCTGCTGCATCGCACGACGGATCAGGAACGCCGTTCCGCAGACATGCAGCTCATTTTAATGATCGCGTGAGAAGATCAGTAACGCAGGGACAATGCGAGACGCGGAAAAGAACGATTTTTTTCCGCGAAATCAGATCCTCTATCTACAAGAGTCAGGTCAAAATGGCGGAAAACGCGCGCGCGCTGTTTGCTCCAATCGGTAGTATCCGTGGACCACGGATGTGGTCTCAAGGTTGTCGGTCGCAAAAATAAACATCGGAGGAGGAAGCGCAAAGGTGTCCACAAGCGGGACCAACCTGTTTGCTGCGCCGCGGCCACTTCGCTCTGCTGTAGTCTGCCACCCGGGTTCGCCTGGACGTCCGTCATCCTTTACGACGATCTAGGCGGTGGTCGTTTAGGGGATTCTGCTCCAGAGGATTTCTATCCTCTCACGACCTCACTCCGTGTTCAAGCACTCCGCTTCAACGTCTCGCGCGCACGCGTTGCGCCGACGGTGTAATAGTGTAACTAGACCCCTTGATTTGCACACGAGAGGTGATACAGCGAGGACAAGAGGATGCAAAATAAACAAGGTGCGAAGTAAACGGCTGATAATTACACCATTCGGAGGACGATTGGAGAGACGTGTAGCGCTTGAACCGACGCGTTTGAACTGACTGGCTCGACAGCCGCCACCGCCGGCTCGCCGGGACCAAGCTGTGGCCCCACGCCTGCCTCTGTCCCTGTAAGCGAAGCCTGCCGAGCGCGTACGAACGAATACGTCGTGTCCGTCCACCCACAACAAACACGCTCTGTCATCAGGCAGGTACAATGATGATGAGAGACGAGAGAAAGAAAGATTTCATGCGCGATTGAAATCCGCGCTTAAACGCGATTTATCGATCGAGTCATTCTCTTCCTAGCTATGGATGCTGAGAGATGTATATCACGACAGATGATAGTTGGAGACCAGTCGAAGATCTTTCTCTATTTGAGAACTGGCGCGGATTTGCCCGACTTCAATCTAATCTGATCCGCGAATCGTGTTGTACAAAGATATAGTATCATTCTAAAAAATATCTATATGGATTTAACATCATATATATATTTATATATTTATATAATATTTATATCAATACTGTCATAGTATGGATTTAAAATTCACATTATGACAGTGTTGATATAAAGAACACCAAGAGTTACAAATCTATACTTAAATATTAACACGAGAATTATATAGACACTGCATGGTGTTAAATGATCCATACTGATTTTTTTTTAAGTAATAAAATTTATTGTTTTTGTTATTTCTAATTTTACGCGAATTTCCTTTAGCTAAATTCTACTCTTAAACTTGACTTAAAACTTTAAATTTGATTTAAAACAACTAAAAAAAACAACAATTCGATAGCTTACTATAAAATATTTGCAGTAATTATATAATTTCTATTGTGTTAATATTAACACCTATATAATATGAATTTAACATCATAAGATTTAAATCCACTCCATGATGTTAAATCCACCATGATGATATTGATATAAGTACTTAGAGTTAATAAATCCATTTTATGTTGGTGGTTAATTAATATTAACATCAACAATGAGAATTTTATAAAGACTCATGATGGTCAATCCACATCGATATTTTTATGAGATTAATTGTTTTCATTATTTACAATTTCACATGAATTTTGTTCAGCTAAATTCCACTCGTGGTTTTGCACGAAAGTTATCTTTATCGATTTCAGTTCTATCCTTTAAACTTGACTTAAAACAACTAAAAACATTTTGATAGTTTCCAAGTACTTATGGTTATATATTACTTCTACTTATAGTTACTTAGCGTGTTTCTTACAAAAATAGTTTGAATGACTAGAAAAAGTTTTACTTGAATAATTAGTGTTCTGACAGTATTAATTGTATAACACGTTAAAATTTGTAAAAGATAATGACTACACTATTATTATGTTTTGTATAATAAAGAAAATCTAACATGCTAATGCAACTTTTAAATAGATTTCGGCAGTGACATGTTTATTGTTCGTGTTTCTCACGCGATTGCTTAAGTAGAGCAAGAAAATGTCAGTTAGGCAAAAATAACCAGACTTATACGCTAGCAATAAAGAATCTATGCTAATACGATGATCTTTGCGACATTATATTTTATCACATTAAAGTATTTTATGTTATTAAAGCTTAGATCTTATAATATACAAGCAATATAAATTATAATTGTTTGAAAATTAATATTGTATTAAACACGTGAGAATTAATTAATATTAAAATAAAACGTAATATATATCACATAATATATCGAACAGATTTTCAAGATATCAACACTGGGGAATTTTTTAATCCTCTCCGTTGATTCGAGAGGAGTAATTTATTACAGAGTAACAATAAGAAGTAAATTAATACCGACCATTTCATCTGACTTTGTACAATGTGTAGCTATATTAAAATATTTTTTCATTCTGTAAATTTAATGTAGACGCTGTATTGTATGAAAGTGAATCAAATAACAATATTACGCATTCGAAATAAAGTATTGTTTTTCTTTTTCTCGACATTTGTGAACCTTCTTCCTTTTTCTTCGATAAAATGCTGATACTTTGATGTTGCTAATTCCAGAATCGTATTGCGTATTACATGCAAATTGTCAAGTGAATCCTCGCATAATTTAGCGAGGAAGGGAGAGATGAAAAATAAATGATGCATGTGACGAGCGAATATGGCGAATGTATCCATCGTCGACATGGCTTAGCAGATAGATGTTGACAGTGATCATCTTAATCATCGGTTACTGCTGCCTTCTCACACAAGTTACGAAGGAACGCTGTGAACGAAATAGAGCGATCAATATATTATTCCGCTCGAGCAAATTGCGAAACATTGATAAGTGAATAAGCATATTTTCATAGAGACGATAAACGTATATTTCAAGAGAGAGATAAAAAAAATTAGTTTATGCGCGAAGCTAAAAGTACTGAATGATTTAAATAGCTAGAACTAATTTAAATAGCAGTCAGTGCTCAATTTTGCGCTGCCATGTAGATTTTTCTTGTAGCAAAGCAACAAATATAAAAGCAATAAATACATAAATAATGTACAAAGAAGCATTAATAATTCGCGTAGCAGAGAAATACTAGAGTTTGGACATTAAAAATTGTTTTTATAATAGAAGGAAATTATATATATGTATGTAGAAGATATAATTTATATAATTATGTATAATTAATATAAAATGCATAATAAAATTGTATTATATCTAATAAATTGATCTTTTAACACGAAGATTAAAGTACACACGATATTTAAATAAAGGAAACATCAAATTAAAATTCATTTAAAAATACGCTGTAACACAAGTTGTAGAGAAAAAGTTATGTTTAATATATATTTTTTTCATTTTGTTTTAATTTTTTATCGGTCTTGATTATTTAATCTTATTCCATGTAATTTTCCTTGATAATCTCATCAGATCATTGACCCCGCGCGCGAGCAAAACCTTCGTAGGTTCGTGTTTCTGCGCGAGAAGCGGGTTATCGATTTCCAGCATCCCTGTTGAGCTGCAACGCTGCGTCCTATATAAATTCTGGAATATGCTTAGCAGGAAAATGCAGACGAGACAATGTTAATGGATACAAAAAGAAATAGAGACAGATAAACAAGACGTAGATGAAGAAATGGCGAACAATCGTGGAATTACGCTACAGGGTGTACTTACGATGGATGATCTTTGTCTCGATAACACCTCAACTGCTTACAACAGTACCATCATCTTCTTCAAGAAGGCTGCGAAACACAAAAATGTGGAAGTGTCAAACGATATGGGGTGGGAACAAATCGAATCCGGGGGATCTCTTCATGTTGCCGGAAGTTACCGGACGTCCATATTACAAATCGAGGGGTTCGTCAACTATACATTATATACAAGGGGAACTTTCTAGTTCTAACAAAACAGTTTTAGGGGTCTTAAAGAATAGATAGGGATTTTTCTTCAAACTAATGTATTCTATGTCAATGTGAGGCAGGTGATTCGATACTCTACATTTATTTCGGGGGGCGCATTCATGATACCCGGCCCAAAACGAAATGATACTTACGAGCATAGGGGATGAAACCGTCATCGTCTTCTGGATCCATGCAATCCTTCAGAACTGTTTCGCATTCCTCATCATTAAGACGTTCACCTACGATAAATGCGATCATTCAGATCATATTAACTTATGTTTTTAGGAATAAAACGTTAATTCAATATAATATTTTGAAAGTTAATATTCGCAAAATAATATTTATTATTTATAACAAAGCTGCACACAAATATCTATTTTAGAAACAAAATTGTATTATTTATATAATACAATAATGGCATATAATAAAAATAAAAAAGCAAATTTGAATTGTCTTTTTTTATAAGTTGTAAATAATTGTTGATGAAAAAGAGGAAATTCTACCAAGTGATAGAAGCGTGTGAGACAATTCTGCGCCGAGCATCATTCCGTTTTCCTGTTTGTCGTACAACTTCAAACACTCGAGGAAGTCTTCGTAGCATCCCTGTTCCTTATCTTTTTTGCACTGGCTGAAGATGGGCAGGAATTCGTCCAGTTTCATTTTCTTTTCGCCCTTCTTCTTCGTGCCGCCCAACTTTTCAATGGTCGCATTTGTAGGGTTCAAGTTTAACGCGCGAAGGACATTGCCAAGATCAACCGCATCGATGACGTTGGTGCCATCTGAGTCGTAAATGGAGAAGGCAAATTCTGCCCCTTTTTAACAAAAATAATAATTTCTGATGCACTTTTCCATCTATACTGTAAGGGAGATCTACCGATGATCAAACGTTCTCGATAAAAAAATCTTTGTAATTAAGAAGAATTTTGCTATAACTTTATATATCGTGTGTGTGTGTGTGTGTGTGTGTGTGTGTGTGTGTGTGTGTGTGTGTGTCCAAGTAACATAGCAGCGCTTGCAAAGCGCTAAAGAAGCGATTATTTGTGCTTTTTAGCACTTTGTTAACGCTTTGTAAGCGCTGTGTGCTATTTGAGTATATACTATATGGATATGAGTATTTGGTATTGTTTTTAAATATGCGATGTGCCCGAAATCTGGGTTAATATCGTAGGCATGAAGTATACCGCGTTCGTATCTTCAAAAATATTCTTCTATTTTGGGAGAGGCGGTAAGCCCCACCGCTGATTGAAGAAGTCGGTGGTGGAAGTAGTGGGTCAGATTACCCCCGCCGAACCATATAAGAACAGCCTACCAACCTATTTTTGACGCGCTACAGAACGGTCACATCCACCTACCGATCCCTAGTCGTTATGTAATAATAACATCAAAAATGGAACATAATATGCAATTAGAAATACCGCGAAGAAAATTTATACAATATAATTCATTGGATTTAATAAAAAAAAATAGTTATTCAAAAAGAATGAATACAAGTATAAGTAGGATCAAGAAGAAGAAATTTTCTTTAACTTTAAGTTAATAGAAATAATTTACAACAGAAATTATTTGTTTTTCTCGTGTTAAGGAGAATAAATGAAATGTTTCAAAAACTATCAAAATTTTTTAGTTTTTAAGAATTTTGTTAAACAATTCAATGATGATTACAGAATAAAATATTTATATTTAATGAAGAGATTGTTTTATTAGCTAAACTATTTTTAGAAATATGAAGAATAATAATTTCAGTAAAACTCTCCCTCTTATTATTTTAATATTAATTTAATATTATTTTAATATTAATGACGTCATTAGTTAATGAAGTGATTTGACAAATTTTACTATCTGTTTGGGTAACACAGAAGTTTTATTTTTTTTCTATTTAAATTTCACTCACTTCCTTCTAATTGCGTGACTTAAAGTTACGAAATTATATATATAGAATCACTTACAGTTTCACTAATTACGATGCAAATTAATTAATCTATCTTCATTATTTCCATATGATTTATACGAAATGCGAAAATATTAACAATTTAATAATTTACTCACTTTCGACATCCTTGCTGCTAAGGTCTGCCTGAAAAGTATAAGGAAATTTTTTTATTATACTGAAGTTATTCGTTTCAACACCTCGCTATCATATTACATATTTATATAAAAACGATTTAACTGTAATTTATCACAAAGAAGCTGCCAGAGAAATTCTCACGAAAAAGAAAGAGGAATCGAAACTTACCATTGTTGATCGTCTGGTACCAGTGGATGTTGACCGAACGAAGCTTAAACCAGAAGTGATACCCGGTGTTACCAAATTTACTCATTTTATTTTTGCAGATGGCGCTACGAGGACACCCTCGAACGATGCTGAGGTCCAAATCTGCGAGAGGAGTTTCGGTCCGGATCGACGACGCCGGGGCATGGCAACACCGCGATCCAAAAACAGTTCGAGAAGCGACGAGAGAGAGGCGAGAGTTGGCGAATGTCTTTTCTTATTGCGATAAATGAGACTTCGACGTCGACGACGATGACATTCCTATGTCAGATTGCCAGATCTGCAGTGTCCGCGCGATGGACGCATCAAGCAAAAATATATTCTGCAAACTTCGATATCACTAGTAGTCTCTACATATATCAATTTCTAAACTGAATCACTTAAAGTGTTTAAACTAAAGAATGTGACACGCATTATGAGATCATCAAACATTATATATTTTACAGAATTTTGCGAGTTTGTGTACAATGTTTGCTATTACCATCTAGAAATGTATAGAGTCTGATTCACGCGTTGCACCGAAGTCATGTTGGATGCTGAAGACCCACGGCCAGTGATTACGCTACCGGTTATTTTTACTCGCTATGTATTCGTGGGCGTGTTTCCCTCTAAAAAATACAAGACTAAAAAGCTGTACGAGCAAACGAAGAGAATCGGCGTCATTTGACGTAGATCGTGAGGTAGCATTTTCCTTCCGGAATCCAGCATCAATTCTTCTGATGGCCGAAGGTGGCACGGAAGAGTTTCCTCAGTCGGCTGCCAAAGCCTTTCTTCTTCTTCTTTTTCGTTATCGCTTCATTGAACGTTTTTCTCTTCTCTGCGTCATCGATGGGTAGTATCTGATCTATGGTCTTCTTGTCATCATCGCACGATGGTTTCAACGATGATAACGAATTTGATCCACGTTTCTCGATCTGAACTTGTTCGAGGTCGGCTTCCCTCGAGGTGGACGCCACATGTTGACTTGAGTAAGACCTCAGTTCTTCATCGTGCTTCAATTTGATAATGTGGAAGCGACTGTTTGATTCGCTACCTTGAAGAGTCCCCGTTGTAGTCTCATGTCTGGTGTTAACATTGCCTTCGATAGTCCTAATAAATTGTTCTTCTTTCTCCTCCCAAACGGAAATGCATTCCTTACTGACCGAGTCTAAAGGAGCATCGTCCTTAGAGGAAGTCGAGACTGTTTTGTTCTCTAAATCTTCAATCAATTGTTGTAATAAATCAACTGACACGTTGGTCGCCTCGTTAGTCGCTTCTCCTTCCTTCTTCTTTCGAATCAACTTCACCGGTTCCGTCGATTCAATCACTGATTCGAGAATTGTCGCATTAATCTGGTGCGTGTCGCCTTGACCTCGGGTCGTGCGTTGAGTTTCGGCTATGTCGGTTGCTGGATTATTTATAAGCGGTGCATCGTCGACGTTGCACGTGGCGTATTTCACCTGTTCAAGCAAAGACAAGCGTGTGTCTCGTGAGTAGATCTTCTCATTCTAACACACAAGCAAGAAATAATAGTCGTGCATGGAATTAATGTGACACAGGTGCGACTAGAGAACTGCAAGCGCAAGACCTCTCGTATGTGAATATCCTGTAATTACAGCCATGCGATTCAACTAGAACCGTCTGTGAAATAAACATGCGAAAGTCCGACATTGAACGTTAAATTTAATTTTTTTTATTATAATTAATTTTTATGACCGTTAATTTAATTTTTTTAATGAAAGTCAATTAAAAGAGTACATTTCTTTAAATATATTTACATCGAAAAAAAAATAGTATACTTATATAAAACAATTTGATATTATGTTATTATTAAAAATTTTCTCATAATTTGAAGTCTTTTGTATTTTTATTATTCCCTACTTTCCCTTCTCTTTCTTTATGTACAATAATTATAATCTCAACAATTGATTATAATAGAATTATATCTTGGAAAGTTGTATCCAATTACCTGTTTCTCCAATGTTAACAATGAAGGAGGAAGAACATAACGCGAATCTCCGATCCGTATGTCACGCAAATCACGAACTATCTTTGCAATCAATTCTATTTCCTCGGCCTTGCTATAATGTATGTGTGTATGTTCGTTTGCTTGCGGTCTACCGTGTACATGTTCCAGTTGAGCATCGCCTGTTTCCTCAGTGACGTGCTGCTCCCAGGATTTTCCTAATAACAGTATTTAACGTATATATGTTATTTGCGTCTAACAGAGATAATTATACGCGTCTGCGCGCAGTCATCTTCGCGAAATGTATGTCGATTGCAATTGAAAACCATGAAACGAACGTTACAGCATCATGAAACGACATTTATCAATTAATAATGTCGTGCGCGTACAACGTCTCTATTCAACCCGCCGTTACATTCACGAGATATACAGACGAGTTTGCACCTTACCATCCTCTGCATCGCGATCTATAACGTCCAGAACTTCTACCATTATCTTGTCTAGCAATCCTCTCGCGAACGCCTCTGCCATCATTTGAGGCATTCTTACAAAAGGCAATCTCTTCTACGCGCCGGTTCTGATGGGACGCTAAACAGTCATTTGTTATATTTCTGCGAGCGTAGACTCGATATCGTGCACACACGATTATTTAGTGATTTTTAATCCCCGCTGTGCGGATTGTTTATTGTATAAAAGATGATGTCTTATATTTGATATTTTTATAGAAGAAAAATTAAAAATTTGTCCTAATAATAAAAACAAAATTTTATTCGATATTTTGGATTTTAAACCAGATATGATCGCGAGATTGTAATTGCAGAACGAAATATTATATTAATAAGGATCAGAATAATGAACAGTCAGAGATTTTCTAAATAATAAATTCCCTAGATTTGATAAATAACGTGCAATCAAGAATTAATGACTTTATAAAGTGCACAATTAAATATATGAAGTGAAGTTTGACAAATTGAGCGAAATGAAATTATTTCCGATTAAACAGCGCGCTTTCATAATAAAAAGATAGAATAGAAAATTCAAACGAAGCTAATAATAATTTCGCTAATAATAGTTATGACGACCAATACTAATACCACGATTAAAAATAAAATTTATTTGTTATAATAAAGCTATTAAAAAATTCGCAAATTTTTAAAACAGAGAAAATGTATGAATGCAATGGTGCTGCACAAAATAATCGTAGTAAGCATGACTCTTCAAATGCAATGAAAGCTTAGTAGTATTGACAAGGAAGAAATCGTGAGAAAGATCTCATGTGAATCTAAATCGCAAATCGATGATTTGTTGGCAAGATATCGACGTTTTAATATCGCATAAAACCCAGCTTCAAGTTTTACGATTGCTCGAAAAGCACAACGATTCATCCGGTTGTCGATATTGTGAAATATTTGACGCGTGATCAATTTATAGAGTTAGACAAGAAAAAAAATAAACTTCTCTCGAAATTACAAGAAAGACATTATATTTGCGTAGATTACACGAGAAACGAACGGTTCCGTCTTGTCTGACAAACGAGATTATCCATAATGTGACGTAGGATTTTGTTTGTTCGACGAATCGGGACATTTACTCAAAATAGCTTTAGATGAAAATTGTTATCCACACTACTGGGAATAGATAATAATAGAGAGAATGTGCTAGCTTCCCTGGAAATAGATGTAGTCTAATTATATGGAAATAAATTCTCTTGAGGATTGCACTATCTTGGAGTAAAGATGATAAAATAATGCTATGATCTTTAGTTCGTCATCTGTTTGAATAGAAAATCTCTGGATAGAAATGAGATAAATAATATAGATCAAGATATTTTTCGAGATCAAAAATTAGTTTTGTTAAGACCTTTTCTAGATATCGTTTGACATATCTCAGAGCTCAAATTGCGAAAGTTAGACATTCCGGTAATGCAAAAAAAATCGATAGAGGCGAACACATGACTTGAATGTCCTAGTTCGAAATATCAAAAATACGAAGGAAGATTTCTCATTTAATCTAAACAATTATAACAAGATTTTATCAAGATTTTTCACAAGAATACTACTCCTGTTTCTTCTGACAAGTCTGCACATATTTTTACAAAAAATTACGACAAATTATTTACAAGAAAGCATTAGTAAAAAAAAATGATAAAAATATAATGGGAGAGATTTTGCCAATTTATTATAAAATCCTGAAAAACAGCAAAAAAAGACATGAATTGAGAAAATTGAGAAGAGTTTATTGAAATTCTTCATATTTGAAAAAGAGAATGGTGGTGCGACGTTTACCATTAGAAAAATCATTAGTGAAAAAGCAAAAAGAATAAGCGGCGATATAGATGATAACATATATAAAAATTTGCATAGAAATCAGTTCCATAAACGTTGAAGAGGCTCTGAAAATAAGCGAATTAATAACGTATGCACAAGAAATTATATTCGAGTTGGATATGACGTTAAAGCATGTCGAGAATTTTCTCAACACAAAAGACTCACTG